TGGATTGATCTGAAGCAAATCCCAAGAGCAGCTTGTGGGGAAGCTCAGGCCAGCAACTTTATTTCTGTACATATTTCATTAGGGCCCTCCTGGGATCCTCTTTGTCCTTGATGAACTTCACAGCCCTTCTCAGCAATGTCCCCTATACCCTTGCTGTCCTTCTGCATAGAGCCTGCTAGCAAGTTATGAAACAGCCTACGTTGTAGGGATTACCAGGGCATCAGGAGAATCATGCCTTCTGCTAAGGACTCCTCTGCTTTTTGCAAAATATGTTCTGCATCTGGGACATCAACACTGTGCTTTGCTCCAGCTGTCTCAAAGCAGGCACAGCAAATGCAGTGTGGAGGAGTGAACTTCTGTCACAGCAAGGTTGCTTCTCCCTGTTGCCTTCTGACTGCCCACATGAGCCTCACCTTTCACCTGCAGCCCTGCCAGCAGCCAGGTGCAGAGCTGGGTCACTGGGCTCGTATCAGGGCTCTGCTCTCATCACTGCCTGAACAGCCATCCAGCCCAGAGCTGCTCTCCAAGGCATCTCTGTGGAGCCAAGCCAAAGCCAGCTGCTGCAAGGGCTGCTGCTTTTCTCGCTCTGAAAATATCTGTCAGGATGGGTAGGGGAAAGAGGGAAGTTTGTGAAATCTGCTTGCTTTGAAAACTAGAGAAGTATAACACAAAACTCCATACTGCCCTTTTATTCCACATTTAACAGGCAAGACTCTGCACCTACTCTTTTTAGCCACCTTCCCTGTCTTCCCAACTAAATTATTTTGAATGAACTCCTGGATAATTTTGTGACAGCAATTCAGCAAGCTCAGGATTTTGGGGGACTATAACTAACTGGATCAGTTAACCCGAGAGAGACATGACTGCTGCAGCTCCACACCCTCAGGTCCAGCCAGTGCCAAGACTGCAAATGTGTTCTCAGCCAAACATTTACACAGAACACGTGTGTGCATCCTGTGGGGGAATTGCACAGCTGTGCTCTGGTTAGAGGTCCACACACTCCCAGAAAGATTATCTGCTTGACTCAAGGCAGGAAAAAGCCATCAGAAAAAGTAGGAAGTGGGATCCCAAAAACCTTAATAGTTCCTTGGTAGATAAGAAGGTGTCTGAGCAAGTAGGCATATATTAAAACAGGACTATCTGTGCAGTCACACAGAACAAAAGCTGCATGCTGATTTGTCAGCTTTTTCCTTTCTCCTAAAGGAACTCAGTAGCAATCATTTTCACAGGTGGCAATCAATCCCACAGACATCTTTTCTCAGGTACCTGCCTTGTCACTCTGGGAAACATCTGGAGAGGTCATGACACGCAGCTAGGAATCCAATCAGGGCAAGCTGTCCTGTAAAGCTGTAAAGTTGTAAAGTATTTATCAAAGCCTTGAAATTGAATGCTAAAAAGAGTGACTACTTTTGGTTTTGATTATGTATCAGTGATTAAAGAATAACACAGTGTTATAGTTTTGATTTGCCAATTTAAATATACTCATTTTTCTGTTGTGAGACAGAACCAGGAGCAAAAGAGCACAGCAGGCTTAAAACTTAAAAGGGTACAAAAAGAAATTTATTAACTACACAAAGAAAGAAAGAAACAAATTCAGAATAAGATTTTCAGACCACTACCTCCTCCTCTATCCCAAACTTCATAGCAACAAAACAAACATACAAAAAACTACTTCAGTCAGTTCCCAACTTAAATAGTCATTTTCAGTTCACTTTGGAGAGAGAAGTTCCCTCTTGTCAGGCCATAGGGACTTTTCCACAAGGAGGGAAAAATCCAATTCTCTCTTGGTTTCACTTTCGTGATTTGTATCTGCCTGAGAAAAAACTTACAAATCGTGAAGCTCCTCCCATCTTCACAGCTTTCCCAAAGCTGTGTTTACGGGCCTTGTTAAACTCATGGGGTATTTACTTTTAAGAATGAACTGTTCAAACCAAAAAATTCTCTTCATCACTTTTTCTCTCTGTTCATGCTTCATCTGCAGAAACAGAGATCCCCTTTTCTCCTCGGGGCAAAGGATCTTTAACACAGGTGCTTTTGGTCAATAGCCTATCAAATGGAACACTCCAACCTCCCCACGTCTTTCTCCACGGTTTATAGGAATATTCAGTGCAGTATCAGTTCATCCCTACAACATACAAAGGGATTTTCAGCCATCTTCACAGCATCTCCTCCTTCTCCTTCCATCTCAAGGAACTTAGCTCATGCTTCACTGACTTTAGAGTATCTCCTTTTTCCTCTCTCATATTCAAAGGAAAGCCGGAGGTCTGCAAATCTTATCTGAGCACTAAAGTTTCACACAGAAGCTGCAGACCCTGGGCCAGGCCCAGGCTGCGCTGGGTGAGGGGCAACTGAGACGTCAATCAGCTTTTCTGGGGTTTAACTGCAGGCCCGCACTGCCCACGGCCACCCCTGCTGCCCTGACAGGGCCCGGCTGCCTCCCCCAGGCCGTGCGGGGCTCGGCCCTTCCGAAGCTGCTCCGAGCCAGCAGCAGGAGCCGGGCCCCCCCAGAGCCACGGGCCTGTGGGGGAGGAAGCCGGGCTAAGGTCTCATCAATGAGCCTTTCCTCCCCCCGGCCATCGGGTTCCCTGGTTTGCAAACGGGGCCCAGCGGCCTCCCGAGCTCCCCCCACGTGGCAGGGAGCCCGGGCCAGGCCAGTGTTACCTGCTCAGCCACTGGAAAGAAAAAAAGCTTTTTCCTGGGTTACCTCCTTCAAAATGTGTGTTCACAGAGCGAACTAACTTTCTCCAATTGGTTCCTCAGGCTGTCAATAACCAAACCAGCCTTCATCTGGTCCCATCAACTCACAGAGGAAGTTCTCACAGAGAAAACCTCTCTCTGAGTCTGTCCTCCCCAGGTGAAACCAGCACACACAGATTTTCACATAACTGGATCTCTGCTCAGAAAAATAGCTCTGAAAATTATATGAATGAGTGTACGTATGCATATATATATGCATGTGTGTACGCATATATACATATATCTATATGTATGCATAAACTGCCTTCCCAGGCACATCTACAGGTTGGGTGAGGAATGAATCAACAGCAGCCCTGAGGAGAAGGACTCGGCAGTATTGATTGACAAGCCAAACATTCCCTGGCTGTGTGTAGTGGAACCCAGAAACCCCCTGTGTGCTGGGCTGAGCCCCTACCATGGGCAGCTGGTCAAGGGGGGAGATTCTGCTCCTATGCTCAGGTGAGAACCCACCTGCAGAGCTGCCCAGCCCTGGGCCCAGCACAGGAGAGACCTGGAGCTGCTGGAGAAAGTCCAGAGGAGGCCATGGAGATGTGCCAGGCCTGGAGCCAGGCTGGGAGAGCTGGGGGTGCTCACCTGGAGAGGAAAAGGCTCCAGAGAGACCCCAGAGCCCATTGCAGGGCCTAAAGGGGCTCCAGGAGAGCTGGAGAGGGACTGGGACAAAGCATGGAGGGACAGATAAGGGAGAATGGCTTCCCACTGCCAGAGAGTTGTAGTAATTATATCAAGATGGACGCAACTGGCACCAGCACCAGTCTTTTATTAAAAACTTCTCATGCCTTCTGTCCACTGGCTTCTCTCAGACAACTCTGACTCCTTTTCTCACAGGCAGCTCCACACAGCTCTGACTCCTTCTCTCTGCAAGTTTCCTTCTTCATGACCAACTAAACCCCCAAGCTGTCCCTTACCCAGCTGCCTAAACCTGTCTGTCCCTCACACAACATCTTCTCACCTCCTTACAGCACAGCCAGCAGACTCTGAGCTTCAAACTGTAACTCACTCTGGACTAGCTGACCCACTCTTTTAAAACTCCCATCCTCATCGGGCAGGCAAGGCTGTCTCCACTTCTGGGCAGTCAGAACAGCTGTAATTCATTGAGGAAAATTGCCTTCTGCACTATCCTTATAACCTATCCTCCCACAGAGAGTAGGTTTAGATTAGATATTAGGAAGAACCTGTGGGGGTGCTGAGGCCCTGGCACAGGTTGCCCAAAGAAGCTGTGGCTGCCCCATCCCATTCAAGGCCAGGTTGGATGAGTCTTGGAGCAACCTGGTCTAGTGGAAGGTATCCCTGATGGTACAGCCCATCCCAGGAGATGAGAGTAACCCAGGTTCTTGTTAATAGATCACTTGGGGTGCATCAGCATGAAATGACACCGAATGATCAATGTGGTTATTAAGAGGTGACCGTGGATTTCTCTGATGTTTCCTGATATCCAGATAATGAAAGCCCACATTTAGAGTGAGCCCACACTGGGCAAAGTTATCAGGACTATGCTTGAGACTTCATCGGAGGTAAGTGTCTGCCTGACCAGTTTAGAAAATCCAGGGTAGTTTTGGAAACAGAATACAGACAATGACCAAATGACTATGTGAGGTTGCTGGTTATACTGCCCTGGGAATGTTGGTTTGCACATCACTTTCATGAACAAAAGTTGAAAGTATATCTCATTTTAGGTTTAAATGTTCCAAATTATGTTCCAAATGGCTTGAAGGATTGAAGGAATATAACTTGAAGTAAGATCTTGCAAAGAAGACAAAAGAATTAAAAGAATAATCAAAGATTAAGTGGGAATAGGAAGGAAGGTGTAATAAATTCTTATTGTTTGGACAGAACATTTGAGATAATATCTATTATATTCCTAAAGCAACAGTTATAAGGGGTAATTACATTCTGTTTCAGAGAAAAAGTCATTTTCTCAGCTAAGGAAGTATTGGATGAAATTTCTTGGTGAGAACAAATCAGGATGTCTGATTAGATCACTTTAAAAGTGGCTGAAACACTTTGAAAATACCTGAAGCAAGATTTTTAATTGAATAAATAAGTTTAAAATAAGCAAGGAAAAATGTAAAACTTAAAATGCAACACTCAACTTCTCATTATTTACATGGCATAAGCTCTACAATTTTTATTATGTAGGCATTACTCATCTACAGATTAATGAAGAACAAAGCAGTGACTATAAAATAAAAGTGATAGAATGTCACATTTTGTGCAATTCTCTCACTTTACAGCACTGGAGGCTTTTACTCTTCACTTTCTGCCTTCTTGCTGATCTCCCTGCTCTTGGCTCGGAGCTTGTTGACCTGTGACTCTGCAATGTCAGCCCGCTCCTCGGCTTCCTCCAGCTCGTGCTGGATCTTGCGGAACTTGGACAGGTTGACATTGGACAGCTCCTCCTGGAGATTGGAAGAAACATAAAATAATAAAAAGTTTTAACCTGTAACATTGCTAGGTGAAAATATGAAATAAAGAAAGTGAAACGAAGCAGAGACCTACTACCACAATGTTGACCTGGGTTCAAACAGAGCTACACAGGGGAAAACATCAACATGGAATCCCACTTCCACCTGGATAAACACTGACTGAAGACAGTGATACTCACAGCCTCCTCAGCTTGTCTCTTGTAAGCTTTCACCTTAGTTTGCAGTTTGTCCACTAGATCCTGCAGCCTGAGAACATTTTTCCTGTCTTCCTCAGACTAAAGAGAATGACAAGAAAGAGAAGCATCTCTTTAACCCTCCTCTACATGAAATAGAGAGTAGCATTTCTGTTTGACATTGCTGCCCAATAAGACGGAAAGGATAAGCTGTATATTGTTAACATGACCAGAAAGTTCTGGTGCTTTCATTATTGTCCTTTTTGTATGTGTGACTCAGGACAGAGAGAAATCCCTCAGGGCTACATTTTGTGTTCCAGGAATAAGAGTGTATCAACACAAAGAAGATTCCTGCCTTACCTGGTAGGTCAGTTCCTTCACCCTGCGCTCGTACTTGCGCACGCCCTTCACGGCTTCAGCGCTGCGCTTCTGCTCAGCATCAACCTCCCCTTCCAGCTCCCGCACCTGCAAGGACAAGCCCATCCCTGCAGCTTCCCTGGCAATGTCTCTCCAAGGACACGCTCACTCACACACACACCCAGCCCTACACACCCTGGCCTCCAGCTTCTGGATCTGCTTCTTCCCTCCCTTCAGTGCCAGCTGCTCGGCCTCATCCAGACGGTGCTGCAGGTCCTTCACTGTCTGGTCCAGGTTCTTCTTCATCCTCTCCAGGTGGGCACTGGTGTCCTGCTCCTTCTTCAGCTCTTCTGCCATCATGGCCGCCTGATCAGAGCAAAGGGTCAAAGCCATTTTGGGGCTGGAGATATTTTGGGCAGAGTACATTCACCACCAGCAATGCCAGGAGCACCCAACTCACATCTGTGATGGCCTTCTTGGCCTTCTCCTCAGCATTGCGGGCTTCCTGGATGGTATCCTCCATTTCACCCTGGATCTGGGCAATGTCTGTTTCCAGCTTCTTCTTGGTGTTGATCAAGCTGGTGTTCTGTTGAGCAGCATCAGAGGTTTGTTTTCGTAAGCTCATTATTTGAAATCATGAACATTACAGGATTTTCAATAATTTAAGACATAATTATGGAAATAATCAATACCAGAGATTTTTCTAGTAAAATTTCTTGTCACTGGGGAAAAAACATTTTATTTTGGATTTTTTTCTCCAACAATTCATTTTATTCATTTGAAAAACTGCTCAGAAATATAATCTGTGCCACATGTCATCCACTAAGGCTGGCACAGGAAAGTAACAAAAATAGAGTAAGGGAAAAGTCAATGAAATGCCTCCTCTTCGGCATTAGGGAAAAGTAATCCACTCTCAGCAACTGAAAAGAGGAAAAATTTTGTAGATGGAATGAATCCCTTCCAGAATAATTTCATCAATTGAAACTGGGTACTTTCCATATATTTCTGCACGTGACTGCTTGATGGCTGTTATGACACATAGCTCATGTCAAACTCTGCTTGATAAATGCTAAATCAGAACCAGGAGTTCATCCCCAATTTCTTGCTATTAAACAAGTACAGGAGGATTTATCAGTGCTACGTTTCAGCCAAAAAGGAATGAATGTTGCTGTGGTCTCAGAGTTCCATTCCCTGACTGCTCAGAGAACTTGGCATGTCCTTGTGAATAATGTGTCTGAGGATGCAAATGAGGTAGAAGCATGGGTGTTATTGTATGGAGCTTGGGAAAACAACCAGTGCACACATTTTTTTCAGCAAAGATCTCTTTTAGTAACATGATGAATAATGCAGAAAAGAGGACTGCCTTACTCCAAGCTGAGCATCCAATGATGACTGGAATAAAGCATGAAAGTGTTCTCCCAGTTACCAAGAGTACCATTCCTCACCAAAGGACCTCACCTGGCTGTGGAGGAGCTGCACACGCTCACTGGCATCCATTAATTCCTGCTCAGCCACTTTTCTTGACCTCTCTGTCTGCTCCAGGGCTGCCCGGAGCTCCTCAACTTCAGCCTGCAGCAGGTTTGCTCTGCGTTCCACCATGGCCACCTGCTCCTTCAGGTCATCCTGTGTCCTGAGAGCATCGTCCAGATGGATCTGGGTGTCCTGGGAAGCCAGTGAAAGAAATTATAAGCAGATTTAGAGCTCCTGTGGACTGCAAATATTAACCAAGATATTTCTCTGTAGGCAATTTCTGTTCAACAGACCTTGAGCACTCCCTGTGTATTTCTCAAGTTCTTCTGTGCCTCTGCAGCCTGGCGGTTGGCATGGCTCAGCTGGATCTCTATTTCATTCAGGTCTCCCTCCATCTTCTTCTTCAGCCTCAGGGCTTCATTCCTGCTCCTGATCTCAGCATCCAGAGTGCTCTGCATGGAGTCCACGACTCGCTGGTGGTTTCTCTTCATCTGTTCGATCTCCTCATCCTTCTCTGCTATCTTCCTGTCGATCTCAGCCTTCACCTGGTTGAGCTCAAGCTGCAGGCGCAGGATCTTCCCCTCTTCATGTTCCAGGGAGGCCTAGACAAGAAAAAATAAGAATACTTTTCATATGGCAAATGTTGAACCTATGTTTAGATAACATCTCTACTTTTTTAAGACCTCTTCTCCTCTTTTGTCTGGGAATGAAATAAACAAGATAGAGATCCAAGACAAGTAAGAGAGCAAGAAGTAATGCTGTGTACCTCAGCTTCCTCCAGAGCAGCCTGGATTTCAGATTTCTCCTGCTCAACCTGCTTCTTGACTTTCTCCAGCTCATGAATTGCCTTTCCTCCCTCAGCAATCTGCTCTGTGAGGTCAGAAATCTCCTCTGTGGGAACAAAGATCAATAGCATAATCAGGCACAGAGCTGAATGGGAAGGGTCCTGTCCCACCAAGGTGACAGGCATCTCTGCAGAGCTGCAGGCACAGACCCATGAACAATGTTGGCAATGGCTGATAGTGAGAAAGGGCAGCGAGGAGCAGAGGTGCAGGGACTTACGCTGCAAGTTCTTGTTCTCCCGCTTCATTGTCTCCAGGTGGTCCAAGGACTCCTCATAGGCATTCTTCATCTTGAACAGCTCCGTGCTGAGAGAGCGCGACTCCTTCTGGGAGGCCTCCAGCTCAGCCTGCGTTTCCTCATACTTCTGCTTCCATTCTGCCAGGATCTGCAGAGAAACGGGCTGTGAGTAGGGCTGGGGCCATCACAGGGGCATGCTCTGGCCACGAGTGCTGGTGCTGGAGGCCAAATGACCTTGTCAAAGTTCTTCTGCTTCTTATCCAGAGCAGCACAGGCAGCATTGGATCTCTCCACATCAATCATCAGGTCCTCCACTTCATTCTGCAGCCTCTGCTTTGTCTTTTCCAGGGAGGCACATTTGGCATTGACAGCCTCAACATGTTCCTCTGCATCCTGCAGACGTTGAGCCAGCTTCTTCCTGGGAGGAGAGAAGTGGAGAGCCACGTTAGAGCTTGGAAGGGCATCAGTTCTCTACTGTCATGAGTTGGTCACTTTGGAGGTTTCAATCCAAATACTTCCCACAATGTTTTTTGTTTTCCGTGAGTGTATGTAGCCAACAAGATGTATCACTTCTGTGTCTTATCACTTATGGAGTATTAGGCCTGTCTTAGCCCTTCTAGCCCTAATGCCTATGTTTTCCCTTCCAATCTACACTTTTTCTCTCCTTCCCTCTCTTCCCTTTTTTTACAAAGACAGTATATCGTTGCCTTCATCCTGCTCTTGTCTTAACCCACTCTGAGACTCCAAGTTCCCTTGACCAGTTTCAGTCTTCTCCCATTATTTCCCATCCCATTCCCACGTACTTGGCCTCCTCGAGCTCCTCTGTGCGCTGAATCGCGTCTGTCTCGTATTTGGTTCTCCACTGGGCCACTTCACTGTTGGCCTTGGACAGGGCTCGCTGCAGCTCCCCCTTGGCCTCCTGCTCCTCCTCATATTGTTCCCGGAGCAAGTCACAGTCGTGGCGAGCAGACTGCAGGGCGTGGGCCAGGGCGTTCTTGGCCTTGGGGAAGAATAGCACTGTGGCAGTGAATGGAAATATCCTGGGAAATCTCCTGTCTGAAATGCAGATGGACACTGATTCTGCTATGAGTAAGGGCAAGCTATTGAGTGGAAGTGGAAGGTCTGGGAATCTTCAAAACGATTAACATATAGACATATAGGGAAGGAAGAACAAAACTAGTATGGGAAGGCTTTCACTGTATTACCTAAGTTTTTTTTCTCTCTTTCATTTTGTTGATTCTGTAATTTCATACATATCTAATGCTCCTCCTAGACAGAAGGAATCCAGTGGACAACTCAGAATTTGGAGAGCCTTCTTACCTTTATCTCTTCCTCTAGATGCCTTTTGAGTTCCTCAATCTGTTGGGTGAAAGCCTGTTTGCCTCTTGACAGCTGAGAAATCAGAGCATCTTTCTCATCTACCTGGCGTGAATATTCACCTAGGAGTTTTCAGACGAGTAAAAAAATCTTGTTATGACTTATGTAAAGGTATTAATTTTGATAATAAATGCCAATGTAAAAATATTTTGAGTTCAACAAAATTTTACTTCTTTCATGGATTCCTGATCACTGATACTTACCCATATTTCTTAGAGGCTAGAAATTACCTGTCATGTAAAATCCAACCAGCCTTACTCTATGTTTGCATTAAGCCTTAAGTTTACAGAATGAGTACTACAGTGCCATCCATGTGCCATCCCAGTGCCCATGGGAATCTCAGGAGGTATAACAAGGCCAAGCAATCCAGGTGAGGCCTAGTTTGCTGAGTAGGGGGAAGGATCACTCTCCACTAACCTGTTGGCAATGCTTCTCCTAATGCAACTCAGGATTCTCTCAGTGTTCTGTTGGCCATCTTCATCACAAAAACACATTTTTGTCTCAGGTTCCACTTAGTTCATGTTCAGTCCTCCAAGACTCCAAATGATTTTTACTTTTTTTTTAAAGGACCCAGGCAATATACAGTATTCTCTTAAAAACACAAATGTCTTACCAGATTCTGTTTGTAGCCGAGCTCTTTGAGCACTAATGTCATTAATTATGCGCTGCTGTTCCTCCTCCTTCGTCTTAATCTCACTGAGTTGATCTTCTAGGGAACGACACATCTTCTCCAGATTTGCCTGTTTGCATTAGGAACAGAAGGAAAGATGTTTCGTGGTTCAACTCATAATCTGTAAGAAGCTGAAGTCTTACAAAGGAAGAAACAATGATTCAGACGCCAAAATTTCTCAACTAACTGATATATATTTCTATGAAGTTTCTGTCCCCATTTCCAAAAGCTGTATGTTCCCTGCCCATTGCAGGGCAGATGAAATGAGATGATCTCTAAACTCTCTTCAAACCCAAACCATTCTTGGATTCTATAACTTATGAACTTCCACTAATCTATTTTCAATAGGTAAAAAGAATGATGGGATACTGTAAAATGAAGAATTAATTTAAAATTCTGTTTGTCTCTCAGAGATAATAAAATTGAAGTATTAAAGGAAAGAAAAGAAAATTAGGAATAAAAAAGAAAGGGCAATTACTATTCTAGGAGTAATTTCTATTTCAGATAAAGAGCAATACTGTCAGTGCTTCTCATTTTGTAATATTCTGAACCAAGCAATGAGACTCCAGAGTTCCTTATTTAGGTGTCACAGGTGAAATTTTTTAGCTCTCACCCAAAGGATACAAAAATTATTTAAATAATACTAAAATGTTTAAAAACACATTCAAGTTGCAAAGTGCACTAATTTATTCTAAAATATGACTAACAAAAATTTAAATGTTAAAATATAAATGCCTGATTAGGTTTGAAATAATGAGAAGAAATAATTGTGTACCTTGGCTTTGGAGACAGACTCCATGTTGCTGGCTAAGTCATCAATTTCCATCTTCATCTCACTCTTCTCCTTCTCCAGCTTCTGCTTCACACGTTGCAGGTTGTCGATCTGCTCCCCCAGCTCAGCTGTGCTGTCCGCGTGCTTCTTGCGCAGGGCGGCAGCCGTGGCTTCGTGCTGCAGCGTGGCCTCTTCCAGGTCACGGCGCATCTTCTGGAATT